CTACCTGCAGGCCCGCTATCCGGAGCAGCGTGGAGGAGCTTGGGGCACATGGACGGTGGGGCCGGCCCTTTACGAGCTCCGAGGGAGGTGGGTGCATGTGGGCTCTCTGCTCACTGCTGCGGGCCATGGCTGGGTGCACCATGTCACAGGGGCTCGCCTACTGCTAGCAGCTGCCCAACGGCACCTGCACACGCGAGTTTAGAAGTGCAGTCCCTTGTGGGAGCCTGGGGCCCAAACACTGAGTTATTTCTCGATAGGTTTTATGGGGGTTGGTTCGTAACTACAAGTTGTATGTAAGTCAGATGTTCCTAACCTGGGAACTGCCTGTATCTATGTGGAATCAAACTGACAACAGCAACTCAAAAGATTAGATAGGAAACTTAGGGAGCAGTGATTACATGTTAATGGGGGAGGAACAACTTGGAAAAGGAAGGTGAGAATGGTTGAACAACTTGAAGAATGTAATCAATGTAACTAAATTGTACACGTAGAAACTGTTGTATTGCTATATGTTCTGCTGTGTATACTCTCAACAAGAAAAATAAATTATTTTTTAATTAATGAAGATCCCAAAGAGCTTTTCATTATTGTCTTTTAGGAATCATTATAACCATGTTACCTCTTCCAGAACACCTACAGGTTTTAGCATTATGTTAGATTTAATCTCATTTTACAGATGAAGAAATAGAGGTTAAATATCTTGCATATGTCACCTCTGTCAACCTGGTCATAGAACAAGCACTAGGATACAGACACAGGAACAGCCTACTCAGACACTCCTTTTACTGCCCTGTTATATTCAACATTCCTAAAGAAAGACCTATACATCACTTTTTACTGGCTTAAACCATCTGAACAGTTTCTGCCAATGTCCAAGTGAACCCTCAAGGTCTGGGGGAAAGCACTTCATGTAAACACAAGAATTGTCTGTATCCTTTCATCCAATCCATAAATTGATTCAGACTCCAAAAGTGAAATCGACACATAAATATGCATTATTTCTTATGTAAAACATATTTCACACACCTGTATCTATATGGAGCCCTGGTGGTGCAGTGGTTAAGAACTCAGCTGGTAACCAAAAGGCTGGCAGTTTGAATCCACCAGCTGCTCCTTGGATACCCTATGAGCTACTTCTACTCTGTCTTATAGGGTCGCTATGAGTTGGAATCGACTCAACAGCAATGGGTTTGGTTTTTACATCCATATAGAAATATTTCTGTAAGTACTACATTTATCTTGTCTCTAAAAATACAATATATAACTGAAAGCTCAGGGCTAACTACATCAAGGGTTGTCAATAATGAGAACTGGCCTGATCAAAACTAAGGTCATAAATGTCTTTCTTTTCACCCCAACCCATAATGTAACCAAACAGCTGGTATTTAAATGGTTTCAAAACCCTTTCTAAAAATTGCATTTCCTCCCCTCCACAGGCCTGGCTTAATGCCTTCCACATAGTAGGCATGCAAATATTTCACAGATAACATTTTTCAAATATTAAGTTAGTATGCAATCGCTTATTAACTACCATCTTGACAGATGCTTTCTAAGATACTCTCAACATCCCTCAATTTAGACAACTTCTGCCTTTTTAAATTTAACATCAATAACAAGTTATACTGCTGTCAGCTTTTCAAGTAATCAGTTGTCATATGGATTAGAATGACAAGTTCCATCAAATTTCCCAATACCAAGATCTTCATATGAAAATAAAGTTTATCAGTCATTGGAGGCTCATCTTTTATAATAAAGTTAAAAACAGTAACAACAACAAAACCTTTAAAGATTAAGCTACTATATAATCAACTCTTGATTATTCAGTGTATGATTTAGCCAGATCATTGGTTTATTTTCCTCCTTCTAGCCTTTTGGCCATTTTTCCACCACAGAATCCTATATTATTTCTTTTTCATAAATGCCACTAAAAATTAGAACTAATCTTCATTCCTACTTTAAGAGCTCTAACAGATCTGACAAAGGGAGAATCTGGAACAACTGAGTAAAATAAAATTAATAATAATGTATAGAATTTACCCATATTATTTCTACTTCAGATTAGAAAAGAATCAAGAGTGATTTGATATTATGCATTCAACTCACTCAAGCATTACCTGTCAGATTCTCCTGTCACTATGCCTATAGCTTGAGACGCATGACACCTCAGCCTGAGACAATTCTTCTGAACACCCACTTGGAGCTCTTTCATAGTAAATAATCAAGGAGTGTCACACTTTTTAATTAATTCCCTACATTTATATATGTGGTTCTTTAACGGGTTTTCACTTCACCTAGCCTAGGACTTTCCTGGAATTAAGCATTTCAGTTATCTCACTATAAAGTACATCTGGACCCTGGTGGTGCAGTGGTTAAGAGCTCGGGCTGCTAACAAAAAGGTCAGCAGTTCAAATCCACCAGCCGCTCCTTGGAAACCCTATGGGGCCGTTCTACTCTATCCTATAGGGTCGCTATGAGTCTAAATCGACTCGACGGCAATAGGTTTGGCTTGGAGCCCTGGTGGCCCAGTGGTCAAGAGCTACACCAAGCTACAGCTGCTAATCAGAGGGTCAGCAGTTCGAATCTACCAGCTGCTTCTTGGAAACTCTATAGAGCAGTTCTACTCTGTCATATAGGGTTACTATGAGTCGGACTCAACTCGATGGCAACAGTTTGGTTTAGGTTTTTTTGGACATAAAAAGTATAACATTATAAAACAGCTACATAATCACAGACCTACAATAAATGACCACAATAGTAGCCAACATGTACTTCTTCCATATTAACACTTGAGCTAAATTAAAATGATCATAATCAGATTAGATGCAGCGGCTTAAGGAGGCATTAATGCCTTGTGGTTCAGAACACAAGCTCTGGAGTCAAGACTGTCTGGGTTCAATTCCAGTTCCACTAATTACAAGCTGTATAACTTTGGTCATGTTCTTTGATCTCTCTGTGCCTCAGTTTCCTTCTCATCTGTAAAACAGGGAAAACCAAGCATCTATCCCAGAGGATTGTTGTGAAAATTAATCAAGATTATACAGGTAAAGGATAACAATAAGCATTCAATTTTAGTTATCACAATGATTATTACGGGAATCCCTGGGTGGCACAAGTGATTAAGCACTCAACTACAAGCCAAGAGGTTGGCGGCTTAAACGCACCCAGATGCACCTCGGAAAACATGCCTGGTGAATCTGCTTCCAAAAGGTCACATAGCCTGGAAAACCCGAAGAAACAATTCTACTCTGCACACGTGGGGTTGCCATGAGTCAGAATCAACTGACAGCAACTAACAACAACATGATCAATATTATTACCAAAAAGATCTACAAAAATTCAAGACCAGTGAGATAACTGGCCATGGAATAAAATGAATAATTCTATTCGAAATTCCACACATAATTTGTTCACCTTAAAGGGAGAAAATCGAAGTTAAACCTATGGTTTTAAATTAGATTTCATAAGACTTAGCAAAACTCTGTAAAATCTAGAGGTCCCATTTAACTGTAAAGTACACCCTTCATGCATATGAACATGAGTGCCTAATAATAACCAGCCAACAAGTTTTACTAGGTACCTCTTATGTGCCCAAAGCCCCATAAATAAAGGTTTGTTGTACTTGGGCCAATTAACACAAATTCAGAAACCAAGGCCACAATCTTTATCCAACTAGGAATCTATAATCTAAGAACCAAAGTACATTTTTTCTCAAAGGAATGGAAACATCTTCCACCTACTGCCTGTTAACATAGAAAAAGTCATAAGTATCATACGCTTATTGCCAAATTCTACACTCTAGCTAAAATGCTCTAAAAACGTATGCTATCCTAATAGTTACTCAAAGGCATATTTTGCCAACTACGAATTCTGATCCATGTTCCTTGCAATTTTCTTTATTTTGCCACTAAGCGCCAAGGATGCATTTCAGAGTAGAAAATTACTTAATTCACATCATGGGATGAAAAAGTCAAACGTCAAACTCCCTGAAAAGCAAGTCAACTACCTGTGTAGGTTATACATTTCATATAACCTACCCATTATTTTTAGACACTGTCAAAAGGTAAATCAAAAGCACAAGAGAAAAAGCCTCAATCTAATAAACGTGCTTGACTAGAAAGAGGCAGCCTGCCAGGCAATAAATCTTACTTCCTATCAACCTAGTTAACCTGCTCTCCTTCCCTCATGGAATAAACAAACAAAAATAGAGTCTAATTACTTCTAATAGAAATTTACCCAGAAAAGTGGGGAAATATTTGAGGTCTGCCCTACTACCTATTAAAGCTAGACTTTCCCAAAAAGTACTATACTGGGGTCCTCTGGAAGCAAAATCCTGCATTAGTATCCCCTTGTCTAAAGGTAAATCCAAGGGTATCCTTCAAGATCTGGAGTAGAGAAGGAATGTAAATACCTGGCAACACCCCTCCTCGACAAAAAAAAAGGCTTGTCCCCAGGGGCTGCAGAAAAAAAATCCCCTGGGTTCCGGTACTTCCCGTCTCCAGCAGTACAAACGCCACTAATAAGTCCCAGGATCTCACATCCTTCCC